AAAAACACTTAGTAGAACACTATAGTTCTCTGGGTTGATGTATGTAGGCATACAGAAGTGAAATTCAGAAGGTAGTCCAAGAGTCCCTGATACCATCTCTGCATTGATGTCATCAAGCTCTTTTTAAGGCATTGTGGCAAAGAAGTTTCCTCTCTAGCTGTTAAGGTTTTTGGAGAATTTGTGGACCAAGTAAAACCATCTGTCATTGTTCTTGAACAAATGTATCAGTAAACACTGGTATCAGAATCATAAGATTTCTTGTTCAAAAAATACTTAAACATTTCTGGTGGTAACTTTAGTTGTTACTAACCACATTAAAAAAATGGCATTTTCTCTTAAAGTGTTGTTTCTTATATCCTATAACGCAACTGTTCCATTTATGAATATATGCCCTAGAGAAACTCATGGATACATGCACCCAGGTATGTGTTTAACATTTTAGCAGAATTATTTGTATTAGCCCCAAACTGGAAACAACTCAAATTTCTTTGAATTATAAAAGAATAAATAAACTATGGAATATTCTTATGGAATACTTTATGACAGTGAAAATAAATCAGAACTTAGCAAATAGACTACTTCCCAATGTAGAGAAACCGTAAAGAAAGGAAGGAAGTAATGTCCTAAAAGAATTGTGGTTGTATCTTGGAAGACAGGACTACAATGAATATTTTTAGGAAGAAATACCCAGTAGGCATCTGAAGTATTTGACTTGGATAATAGTTTAAATGTTGAAGCATTTTGAATTCTGACTTACCAGAATTACTGAGTAAAGGGACTAGGAGTCCATGTTTAAAGCAGGCATTTCATTATGATATGAATCTTTTTGAAATCACTGTGTTATGGAAAAAACAATGAATCCATGAAATCTTCTGTTTATATTATGTGATTTAATTCATTGGAAGTATATCAAAGACAGGCAGGGAAATCAATATTGGGAAATTATTGTGGGTTTCTAAAGTTAATTTCCAATCACTTTTAATTCTGAGGTAACTTCTGAAATAATGATGCATCAAGCTGAAAAGAGAAAAAAATACTAGTATCATGTACCTACTTTTTACTTCAAAGATTGTCAAGATGGTCTAACTATAATCATAACTAAATTCTGTTACCTGTGCATTGCCCTTTTGGCTTATTAGGTGTTTGTTTAATATTCATTAATCAATAACAAGCATTACTTTTTGAGGTGTTGGGAAATCTGTCAATTCTTATGTAGTATGTCAGTGTGCCTTGAAAGATCTTGGGTGCTTTAAGGAAATTATGAAGTATAGGTCGGTAGCAGTTCTTTATAGGTTGCAGCTGAGTAATACCAATTTTATCTAAATATTTCTCTTCAGTTATATATGCTTAAATTCTTCACTCAAACTCCAGTCTGTAAATACCTGAGTTTTCAGTAAGACTTTATCTTCTAATGTGGTTGTCTTAATATACAGCCCTTGCCAGTGTTTATTTTTGCCAGTATTTAAATTTTTGGCAGTATCATGGGTGTGAAATTTCCATTGTGGTATTGGTCTTCATATTCCTAGTATGACAGTAGTTTACACATTTTTGAGCTGTTCTTATTTCCTTTTTAGTGAATGTCTACTCATGTCTTATCCCTGTTTATTTTTCCTATTCACTCATTCCTCATCAATGCTCAGTCCTTGTCCATGGTGTATCAGAAAGAATTTCTTGTAGTTGTATAAGCAATTCGTTTGAATCAGGATCTGAATGTATTTCTTACTGTATGATTGGTTGTTGTGTCTTTTAACTCTCCTGTATCTTTTTTTGTTCTTGTAAGAAAATCTGTATTGTTAACAGTTTTTGTATTTCTTTTTTTAAGGGTATCTTTGTAATTCCAGAGGAATTAGAAGCAAGCACTAAAGTTGTTTTCTAAGAAATCCCATATTTATCATTTTGAATTGCTAAAATTTTTATAGCTTTATATATTATATTTAAGTTTGGTTTTTTTAAGTGTGTTAAGCTTGTTTAAGTGTGAGACTTGGACTGAAGTTCATTTTTTTGTCCACTGCTTCCAGAACCATTTGATGTAAGGCTGTCTTTCATCTCTCCTTAGATTGTCCTTGTACCTTCATCAAAAATCTGCATATTTTGGGCCGGCCCGGTGGCGCACTGCTACAGTGTGCCACTTAGGAGTGCGGCGGCACTCCCGCCGAGGGTTCGGATCCCACATACAGACCGGTTCCCACTCACTGGCTGAGCGAGGTGCGGGCGCAGCACCGAGGGTTGCAATCCCGTTGCTGGTCCCGGTCCGGTAAGGGCGCGACACTGAGGGTTGCGATCCGTTGCCGGTCACGAAAAAAGACAAAAAGGAAAAAAAAAAAATCTGCATATTTTGTTGGACTGTTTCTAGATTCTCTGTTTTCTTCCATTGGTCCGTGTCTATGCCTCTGCCAGTACCACATAGTCTTGATCAGTGTAACTACGTAAGTCTTGAGATTAGTTAGACAGGTTACTCTTACATTGTCTTTTTCAAAATTGTTAAAATGTTCTGATTCCTTTGCTTTCCATATAAACTGTAGAATAATCTGGTCTATATCTATGAAAAGTCTTGCTGGGATTTTAGTAAGAATGCATTAATTCTATTTATCAGTTTGGGGAGAATTGACATTTTTTGCTGTCTTGAGTTTTAGATTGTCCTTGTACCTTCATCAAAAATCTGCATATTTTGGGCCGGCCCGGTGGCGCACTGCTACAGTGTGCCGCTTAGTGCGGCGGCACTCCCGCCAAGGGTTCGGATCCCACATACAGACCGGCCACTCACTGGCTGAGCGAGGTGCGGGCGCAACACCGAGGGTTGCAATCCCGTTGCTGGTCCCGGTCCGGTAAGGGCGCGACACTGAGGGTTGCGATCCGTTGCCGGTCACGAAAAAAGACAAAAAGGAAAAAAAAAAAATCTGCATATTTTGTTGGACTGTTTCTAGATTCTCTGTTTTCTTCCATTGGTCCGTGTCTATGCCTCTGCCAGTACCACATAGTCTTGATCAGTGTAACTACGTAAGTCTTGAGATTAGTTAGACAGGTTACTCTTACATTGTCTTTTTCAAAATTGTTAAAATGTTCTGATTCCTTTGCTTTCCATATAAACTGTAGAATAATCTGGTCTATATCTATGAAAAGTCTTGCTGGGATTTTAGTAAGAATGCATTAATTCTATTTATCAGTTTGGGGAGAATTGACATTTTTTGCTGTCTTGAGTTTTCTAGTCCATGAATGCTATATACTTCATTGATTTAGACTTCTGAATTCTTTCTTCAGTGCTGTAGTGCAGTTTTCAGCATACCAATCCTACACGTTTTGTTAGTTTACACTTAAGAGTTTAAGTGTCGTGGGAGTTTTTTCAGTAATTGTAAATGTTTATTTTTAATTCTGATGTCTGTAAAGTTTATTACTACCACTACTGTATAGAAGCATTTGATCTCTTGTGTATTTTGTATCCTGCAATCTTGTTGAAGTATTGGAGCCTTAAGCTTTTTTCTCCTGAGTTTCCTTGGGATTTTCTATATAGAAAATTATATTGTCTGTATATAGGAAGGGTTTTGTCTGTATTGTCAGTATATAGGAAGAGTCCTCCCAACATGGACGCCTTTTATTTCCTTTTCTCTCCTTATTGAACTTGCTAGAATTGCTGCCGTAATGTTGAAAAGAAGGGGCTAGAATAGACATCTGTGCCTTGCTCTGATCTTAGGGGGGAAAAAGTATCAGAGTTTCACTACTAGAAACAATGTTAGCTGTTCCTTTTTAGTAGATGCCACTAATGAGGTTAAGAAAGTTCCCCTCTATTCCTCCTTTTTCAGAGTTTTAGCCATGAACTGATTTTCTGGTTATGTGGTTTTTTTTCTACATTGATGGACATGATTGTGTGACTTTTATTCTTTTCCCTGTTAATGCAGTGTATTATTGTGATTGTTGTCAGATAACTGAATCAGCTTTGCATCCCTGGAATAAACCATACTTGGTCATGTTGTATTTTTTTTTTATGTGTTGCTTATACACTACTTATATCTTATTAAGGAATTTTGCATCTATAATTTGTGTACAGCAGTCCATAGTTTTTGGTTTTTGTGTTTGTCAGGTTCTGGTATCAGGCTTTACTTGCTTTTCAGAAAGAATTATATAAAGTTGATGTGATGTCTTTAAGTGTTAGGTAAAATTTTCCACCGAAACCATCTGGGTCTGGTAATTTTGTTTTGGGGAGTTTTAAAATGATAAATTCAGTTTCCTTAATAGTTATAGTTCTGTTTAAATCATCTGTTTCTTTAAGTGTTAGGTAAAATTTTCCACCGAAACCATCTGGGTCTGGTAATTTTGTTTTCGGGAGTTTTAAAATGATAAATTCAGTTTCCTTAATAGTTATAGTTCTGTTTAAATCATCTGTTTTATATTGGTTGAGTTGCAATAACTTGTGTTATTAAGTAATATGATGCATTTTGTCCCTCGTCAAATTGTGTTTTGTATCTAGTGTTCCCTGTTATCCTTTGATGTCTGCAGAGTCTGTAGTGATGGCTTTGTTTCATTCCTTATACTGATAATTAGTGTATTTTTTCTTTGCTCATTTTGTGAGAAATTTGTCTAATTATTGATCCTTTCAAAAAACCATGTCTTTGTTTTATTAATTTTCTCTATTTTTATGTTTTCAGTGATTTTTGTTCTATTCTTTAATGTTTCCTTTCTTCTGTTTGCCTCCAGATTATTTTGCTCTTTTTCTAGTTTCTTGAAGTAGGGATTTTGTTAGGTGTGATACTTGGATTGAGATTCATTTTTTTGTCCAGTGCTTCCAGCATTTAAGAATTTCCTCTTTTTTTAAATCTATGCATTTAGTGCTATTAATTCCCATCTTATCACTGCTTTCATATATTGCATATATTCTGTTAATTTTTGTATTTTGTTGTTACTTATGTTAAGTCAATTGCATTTTAAATTTCTATTAAGATGCGTCTTTGACAGTATAGAACTAAGACTTCAACACAAACTAACTTTTTCTCTCATCTTAATGTCACTGATTTATAGTTTGATTCCAGTGTAGCTGGAACATACTTAGTATGATTTCCATCCTTTTAAATTTGTGTATGTGTATTTTATGGTCCAAGATATGGACTACGTTGGTATATTTTAAATGGGTACTTGAAAAAAGGTATGTCCTGCTGTGGTTGGGTTGAGTATACTGTAAGTGTCAAATAAATCCTTTTGTTTGATGGTCTTGTTGAGTTCTTCTGTGTCCTTGCTGATTTTCTGTCTAGTTGTTCTGTCATTTGTTTAGAGAAGGGTGTGAAGTCTCTATGATTTTGCCTGTTTCTCCATTGAATGTTATTTGTTTTGCCTCACATATATTGTAGCATATCCATTTTTGTGCATACAGATTTAGAATGGCTATGTCTTATTAATGGATTGGCCTTTTTTCATTATGTAATATTTTCTTTTTTTTTGCTCTGAAATCTGTTTTATCTTTTATTACAGTAACTACAACTGCTTTCCCTTATTTTTCACGATATACATATCTTTTTGCATCATTTTAGTTTCAACTTGCATATTTCCTTATGTCTAATAATATAAATAATCTCTGTTAATTTCTGCCTTGTAACAGATGTATTAAGGCCCTTTATGCTTAATGTAATTATTGGTATGTTGGGGCTTAAACTTGCTATTTTATTTTTGTGTTCTGTTTCTCTCTTTTTTATTTCTTTGTTTTTATTTTTCTGCCTTCACGTGTTACTTGAACATTTTTTGGATTTCTGTTGATTTAAAAAAAAATGCATTGCATTGTCTCTTTGTATAGTTGTATTGCATTATCTCTTTGATTCTCTTAATGTTTTTGATAACTCTCTTACATCTGTCATGTTGGTGTTGGCATCTATCAGCTGTCTTCACTCATTTTGATACCCTTCTGATTCTTGCTATTTTTAAGTAATTTTCATTTGATACCCGAAGATTTTCATATTATTTTATGAGACGGATTATTTAAAGCTTGTTTTAGTTGTTTTGTTCTGGCACCACTCAGACAATGGAAGGGAGGGATGCCCTTGGTACCTCCCAGGTGGTGGTAGAACTCCAGGTTTTCCATATCACCTAATGGGACATTTCTTACTACTGTGATGTGGCTTTCTGATGTAATACATACTTCCTCCATGGTGGGGGTGGTTTTATCAGTGCTGGATGATAGTGAAACTCTTAACTGTACTAGACCTCCTGTGGTACCACTGTAGCAGGGATCAGACAAGGGCTCCTTGTTGAGTAGTGGTAGAAATCCCAGCTCACTATATTTGGCCTTCTCTTTTATCCCCCTATAGGTGTTGGCATACATTCTTACAACCTAATGAAGTCTAGGCTCTCTTCTCAATTATTTTTTATATGGGGAGGAAGCATGTTTTTTCTGTAGTGTTTGTTTAGGGCCGGTCAGCTATTTTTTAAAATTTTCTGTTGTGGTAGGTTGTGCCTTTCTGATCTGTTGGCTATAGAAGTAGTTTTGGGGGATTTTTCTTTTCTGTACCCCACTAATGTTTCTAGGTTGCTGGCTTTTCCAGCTTGACGTATGAAGTATTTGAAACAAAAGAAAATTCAGCAAACCTAACTGTCTTGTCTCCTTGAGTTTTGAAGTTTCCAGGAGGTCTGCAGTTTTCTTTTACTTTTCAGGGTCATCCTTCTTCCCTATAAAAGTTTATGAGACTACTTAGAATCTTATGCTTGTTTTATATATAATTTTCAGAAGATTTAGTTGTACATAGTGGGAAGAATAATGAGAAATATATCCCATCTTCTCAAAAGCAGAACGATTTTAGTTTTTATTTTATTTTATTATTCTTTAAAGTTTATTAGTATTATTATTTTTTACATCTATGATATTGTTGTGGAGCAGTTGAGGGGGAGAAGGAGAGGAAAAGAGGAAAGGAAATAATGGTGAGAGAAAGAGGAAGGAGGAAGAAGAGCAGGGTTGATGCCTGTGGCATCCCCCTCATTCCTGCAAGGGAGACCAGGGGGCTACCAAGCAGTGGCTTGCTCATTGCTGGGCTGGGGACAGATGTCAGAGGGGTGTGGTTGAAGCTCTCACCCCCCATCACCCTAGCTCAGGGGCCTGGGACATTCCCTGTAGCAGCTTGGTGGTTGTTGCTGGGCTGGTCATGGGTGTCAGGGGTCATTGCTTTGGCCCCCAACCCTCCCCCTTCCCTGGCTTGGTAGCACAGAGGACTTCCAGTCCTTCTAGGTATTATAGGTGTTACTTGGTGATGTAAGCCTTTTACTGGTCATTATCAAACTTTGTCTCTGTTCTGTGGGTATTTTGTTTTTTCTTTCAGTTCTGTGTTGGATTATTTGCTGTTCCTACCACTTAAAGATCTGTATTGGAACTAATTTGTTTTCCTTTGCTTACTCCTCAAATGGGGGAACTTCCTGTGTGGACCAGCACTTGGGCTCTGTGGTTGAGCTAAATTGCTGCTTTGCTGCTGATTGCCTGGGGAAGGCTTTTTGTGCAGCTTAGGTTTTAATGATTAACTTTAGAGGTACTTCCTGCTCTCATCTGGTACACCTGGGTTATGAAGAAACTCTGGTCTGGGCCTGAATCTTTTCAGCAAACCGCACCCCCCCCCCCCCCCCCCCCCCCCCCCCCCCCCCCCCAGTTTCCACTGGGTGGGCTTATGCTGATTACCGGGCAGATCAGCTGTCCTTGCTGGTCGCCAGTGTTCTTCCAGTGGGCCTGTCTCCCGCACCACCCTTGCTTCAAAGACTTCCCATGGGACAGGAGTGCACCAGTCCCTTGCAATGACTCAGTGGCCTCTGAGTGGCTCCTTTTTTTCAGTTGTTGCAGCTCGTTGCTCCTGTGTGAGTCTCTGGGAACCCTATTAGTAGTCTTGCCGTCCTGGGGACCACCAAGGCCCTTTTCCCCCCTGCAGCCTCCAAGCAACTTCATCCAAAGGGCACAGCTGTGGCTTTTGCCAGCTCCTGCTCAGTGCACTCACCATCTCCAGCCTTGAAGTGGCTAGGGCTTGAGATGTTCAAATCAATTCTTTCTCTCATTGTGGCATCTCCCACCTTCATGCTCTCCCTAGGTCTCTCCTCCTCTTCCCCTGAGCTCTAGTCGCCCTAGCTTGGCTTTTTAATAGTTGTAAATTGGTTGATTTGTGGGAGAGGGTGTTGCTGGGGATCATATTCTTCGCCATCTTGACTGGAAGCTAGTGATTTCAGTTTTTTAAAGAAGCATTTTATCTCATAAATATAGGTAGCATATGTTTATTATTTCTTTTTAAATTTATTATTTTCTTTATCAGTAACAGAATTTTTCATAAATTTTTTATCTGCATATGTTTGTTTCTTTTTAAAAAATGTTTAATACACATTACTATATGATATGCTCTCTTTAGCATTTTGAGCCAGGTATTTTTTATTGATTTTTAATTATTTAACATTAAGTCAGAAGTAACAAGAGTTTAAGTTGTAAATAGAGATTTTTTTGCTGTGATTTAGATTAGTGTGTCCCTTGAACACTGCTTTTCTCAAAGGACATTGGGTAATCTAGTGTTCATTTGTGCTGTTGGGATATGTGTGTGATAGTTGAATGTAGTTTACCCAAAGATATAATAAAGTAGCGATGACCTAATACAGAGAAATGTATATATTAGGTGATATTTATATCATTTAAATTATTTTTTAGGCAAGTTGGACAAATGCAAGTAAGAGGCAACGTGAAAAGCTACTTGAGCTGATATGTCGTCTTGCAGAAGATGATAAAGATGGTGTGATGGCACATAAAGTATTGAACCTTCTTTGGAATCTGGCCCATAGTGATGATGTGCCAGTAGACATCATGGATCTAGCTCTCAATGCCCACGTAAAAATATTAGATTATAGTTGTTCCCAGGTATGGGAGTGCTTCTTTACTTTATTTTTCTGACTTCTTTCTCTCATAATAACTTAGTTACAGGGTAGTTCCTGTTTATTCTGTCATTTTTTTTACAGTAATTTCGAGGAATTGGCTTACTTTGGACATGTAAGCCTGGCTCCCTCCCACTATGCCCATATTTTTCAGCAAGTTTTCATGTATCATCCACCAAGCATTTTTACTTCCTTGAGAGAAAGATTTTTATAGGCATAGTAGTTCATCGTAGTCATACTATTTTAACTATATGTCACTAAGGTAGATCATAAAGAACTAAAGCTGATACAAAATTTGGATGTGGATATATGGTTTGATTTTAATTGCTCATAAGAAGTTAGTAGAAAACAGAGGTCATTATTGGCTTCCCTATGAGCAAGGTACAGCAGCTTCCCAGTGTTTAACTTATGTCATTTACATTTACTGATTTTAAGTACAGTACTTTCTCTGTGTCTGCAGTTTCCACATCTGCAGATTTAACCAATCACAGATTGAAAAACATTTGGGTAGGAGGAACAATAAAAAATAAAACAATAAAAATCATAAAAATAAAAAATAGAGTGTAATGATTATTTATACTGTGTTCACATTGTGTTAGGTATTATAAATAATCTGGAGATAATTTAAAGTATATGGGGCTGGCTGGTTAGCTCATTTGGTTACAGTTTGTTGCTGATAACACCGAAGTCATGGGTTTGGATCCCCATACTTGCCAGCTGCCAAAAAAAAATAAAAATAAAGAATGTGGGAGGTTGTGTCTAAGGTTATATGCACACATTATATCATTTTTAAAAAGGGACTTGAGCATCTTGGATTTTGGTATCCACAGGGAGCTTTGGCACAAATCCACTATTGATACAAAAGGACGACTGTATTTATTTGTATACTAATATTATGTATAATCTTAGACTTGTTTCTGGGTTTTTGTCAGCACTGGTTTGCATCCTTATAATAGATCAGTTCAAGAATTTAATAAACATGTAGACTCTTTTTAAAAAGTAAAGGTCTTGGTAGGAGTGCTCTCAGTTTCTGGAGAGCAGGCATTTTGTTTTCATTTGGACTTGAATTTAGTCAGGTCAAGCAAGGTCAAGATGATGCTCATAGTTTTGAAAACCATGTAATTGTGAAGGTTCAGAAATATTTGCTGAACTGATTGCCTTCCCCAGAAAAGGACTGTCATATACACACATGTAATTAGGTAAATAAATTGAAAGGGGAATATTCTTTTTTTTTTTTTTTTGTCTTTTTTACTGACCGGTAACGGGATCGCAACCCTCGGTGTTGCGCCCACACCGCGCTCAGCCAGTGAGCGGGAACCGGTCTCCACATGGGATCCGAACCCTCAGCGGGAGCGCCGCCGCTCTCCCAAGCGGCGCACTCTCCAGTGCGCCACCGGGCCGGCCCGAAAGGGGAATATTCTTAACCTGGGTTAATTTTTTTTTTTTTTCCTTTTTGTCTTTTTTTGTGTCCGGCAACGGATCGCAACCCTCAGTGTCGCGCCCGTACCGGACCCGGACCGGCAACGGGACCGCAACCCTCGGTGTTGCCCCCGCACCTCGCTCAGCCAGTGAGCGGCCGGTCTGTATGTGGGAGCCGAACCCTCAGCGGGAGCGCCACCGTGCTTCCCAAGCGGCGCACTGTAGTAGTGCACCACCGGGCCGGCCCTTAACCTGGGTTAATTTTTAAAATGAAGAAAAGTCATATACAGTCTGTGGACTAGTTAGTCAAAACTGTTCATGTAAGGGCCGGCCCGGTGGTGCACTGGATAGTGCGCCGCTTGGGAAGCGCGGCGGCGCTCCCGCCCGAGGGTTCGGATCCCACATACAGACCGGTTCCCGCTCACTGGCTGAGCGAGGCGCGGGAGCGGCGCCGAGGGTTGCAATCCCGTTGCCGGTCCCCGGTCCGGTACGGGGGCAACACTGAGGGTTGCGATCCGTTGCCGGACACGGAAAAAGACAAAAAAGACAACAACAACAACAACAACAAAAAAAAACTGTTCATGTAAAATTGACTTTATTTCAATTCTGAGGAAGACATAAATTAAAATTTATCATAGCTACTGTCCTTTACAAATAAAGACAACGAACCTTTTCTCTCAATAGTGGATAATGCATTGGATTTGCAATAATGCATTTGGAGCTCAATAATGCAGATGTATTGAAGAAAAAAACCTCAGTTGGGTTATTTGATCATATTGACAATGTTCTGGTACACTTGATTCCAACTATTCAGCATGCAAAATTGTTCTGAGGATTGTGAGTTTAGCTATTTAAATACAGAAGTGTTACAGAGAATCAAAGCAGTTTACTTGTTATAAATGCTCAACTAGTATTAACTAGTTATTCATACTATTGCTTGGCACACTGTCTTGTACCTTGCTGCATTAATAGATACTAGATGTCGCTAAACTTATTATAAGCATTTTGCCTTTTTCAACTTCAGCCTGTATTTGTTGATGTTATAGAAAACATCATAAGTCTGCCACTTTGCTTGCCTTCCCACCCAAAGTGCTATTAAGAGTCATGGCAAATTAGGTATTTACGTACAGATACTTAAAAACCCTTAAAAATGTGCAGAGAATTCAAAACAGTAGTTACACATCTAGAAATTTTTCTTAGGAAATGAAAACAATACCGTATGTATAGACAAAGACTTTCTTTATTGTTTGTACAATCAAACTGCCTATATTTATGAATGCTGTCTACAATGTACTGTGTACAGCCTTTAAAATAGCTTATCGATGGGGAAAGAAATATACAATATTTTAAGAAAAACTCAGCATGGGCCCAGTTTTTCTAAAAAGGGTGTGTGTATGCTTGCAAAAATGTCCCCCCAGATGAAGTGTTAAGCAAACACACAGTATTGCCATTTCTTCCCCAAACATGCGTAGAAATGGAATCATTCCAACTAAAAATTTGTTAGGTTCCCAAACCTGAATTTCTGATTACTAGCTGTGTAGTTAAAAGATTGAAGCAGGAAACCATGAGAGAATACTTGAAATAAATTCATTCTTAAAATATTCTTAATTTTCCTTTAAGTAAATACTTGTACCTGTTTTCTGAACCTTTGTATGTATATTGATTGGTTTTTATTTTGATGAATTATTTTTACTTGTAGAATTACTGTAGTATTTTCTGATGAAATTAAATTTTTAGTGTTCCTTCATTTGATTAGAAAATTGTGCTAAAAATCAAGCCCGTATATGGTAATAATTGGCATTGTATTTTTGCTAAATTTTGTAATATGATAGAACCTTACAAAACACTGAGTGAAATGCAGTGCCGATATTCCAGCAAACATTTTAAAAGACACTTCCTCTGAATGTGCCTATGCTTGGGAATTGTGTCTTGGTGCAGGTATATCTAAACCCGTGGAAAATTGACTTTGCAGTAGTGGTTTACATTTTACACTTTTAGTGAGGATTTCAAAATAAAAATAGTCAAAGCAATTTGTTTTATTCAACTATTACAAAGCTTTTCTATTTTATAATTCTTAAAATAATTTGAAGGTAGAACTATATTACTGATTGATATAAAGCATAAATTTTTTTGTGTCTGTAAGGATCGAGACACACAAAAGATCCAGTGGATAGATCGCTTTATAGAAGAACTTCGCACAAATGATAAGTGGGTAATTCCTGCCCTGAAACAAATAAGAGAAATTTGTAGTTCGTTTGGTGAAGCACCTCAGAATTTGAGGTAAGGCTTTTAATACAGAGAATTTTCTTATTTTTATTTATGTATTATTGTTGAAAATATCAGTATCAGTAAAAACAAATTTTGAAGAATGAAAACTAGAGTGAAAATTCAGGAAGCTTAGAGAAGAGTGTTTGGAACAAAATGAGGATTCTCGATTGTATTCAATTCCTTTGTATTTTGTAACAAATGGATTAAGTTAATATATCCAATATTACATAGCAATTAAGTATCAGAGCCAAGATACTGCCATTGTGCTCTTAGTTTTGAATTGGATTGTATTCAATTCCTTTGTATTTTGTAACAAATGGATTAAGTTAATATATCCAGTATTACATAGCAATTAAGTATCAGAGCCAAGATACTGCCATTGTGCTCTTAGTTTTGAATTGTCTCTGACTTTCAGCAGATAGATTAGACATTATGATGCTATGTGTTGTATTTATCTCACCCCTAATTTCATTTTACCCATTCTAATGTTTTTCTGTCTTTGGCCCAATAGTCATCAAAGTCCCACTTCATAGTCTTTATACAGTCTTTGTTATTTTTTAAAATTAATCTAATCTAACATATTTTTACTTTTTTTATTAATTGTAGATTACATACAAGAGAATACTAGTTTTCAGAGTGGGGAAACACCTCTTTCTGGGGTTTTAAAATTAAATTTTAAAGATAAAACTAAAAAGCAATTTAAATTCTGAAAGATGACCAGACTTTGTTTAAATATATTTTTAACTTATATTTTAGCTAGATATTTTTAAAATAGCTAATTTTAAGTGTTTGGTCTTAGATGCTAAATTGTGATTGTTGGAATAATTTATTCATTTGTTTTCTTTAATGTATTTGGAATTAATGACATAAAAAAATAACATGGAGAAACTCATGGAGAAAACTGTGTAGTCACAAGAATATTCATAATGCAATTAAGATTCCTGGTAGTGAACGCCATGTTTTTCTTAGTAACAGTGATCCTAGAAAAATTCTCAAATCTTTTAGAAATATTTTTCTTATGTATTATATGATTGCTGAGATTTTTCTCAGCTCTAGATACGATTATGCCCTAAAACAGTATTTGTTTAATAGAATTTTAAATGCCATATACATATATATATATGTTTTGATTTTTCAAGTTAATAGTGACTCTATTCTTCTAATATTGGAAAAACTACATGAAATTGGAAAACTTCATGGGGCTCAACACTGTAGAATACACATAGTGTTTATTTATGAAAAGTATAATTTTGATTATGTTTGACTCACAGTATGTACCTTTTGTCTTTTATCAAACATGTCCATTTTCCATTTGTAGATAGGTGCATTAGTACATGTATTTTCCCAAGGCTGGTGACTCCATCACCAGAAGATTAATGATTGTAAGGAGTTCATTCGTTTTATTGAAAATGATAAAATGGGAAGGAAAAGGGATCATATCTTTCCCTTGATACCAAGGGGCAAAACTGCCTGCAAACTTAGTGTTTTAGAATGTATCTTGGGTGTCTAACATTCTTAATCATGTAATGCAGGTGTTTTGATACTACACGTTGAGTATACTTTATGTGAAATAGATGGGTTGAGAAATGTTCTGGATTTGGGGTTTTTGGGGGATGGGGTGTGTGTGGAATATTTGCAGAATACATACCAGCTAAGCACCCCTGATCTGAAAACCCAAAATTTGAAATGCTCAAGTAAGCGTTTCCTTTGAGCAGAATGTTGGGGCTCAAAGGAAACGCTCAAAGGAAATGTTTGGATTTTGGAAAATGAGAGATTTTGGATTTTCAGATTAGGAATGTTCAAACTGTAGTATATTGAAGAATACTGATAGTTTTCATGTAAAATAAAGGTATTGAAACACATTCTTTTTGAGGCATGGATTGATTATTCTCTTTCTGTTTGATATTTTGTTATTTAAGGGAGTATATTGACCACATTTTATTAATATTGTTACTAATGTAAAATATTTAAAAATATTAAAGTAATCACTAGAATTTAGTCTCTAAACTCTTAATCTCAGCAGTTTTCATTTGCCTAATTATG